CATTCTACCCCTCTATGTACAGTTTAGATACACAAGGTGTGCAACGCCATTTTGACCCCCTGTTCAATTCAGGCTTCAATTTAACACATAAATCGGATATGCCTACTGGTTTTCGTGTAGCATTGGGTTCAAATATGATATTTCTCGCTATATATTTCTTCCTTAAGTTTAAATCCAACGCGTTGATAATGTTATCAGCTAAACTTCATGCTGACTTCAAATTTCGTCACAGGGCCCGATCGCCATCAGCTGACGTCACGGAAATTTAATCTCGACACCAAATGCTCCTATACATAAAATTTTAAAATACAACAATAAATTTATTTCATTGACAAACAAAATCAGATAAAAATTAAAAACCGAAAGATATGTTGTTTTGATAGTCTTGTTTTTATTTAACATATGTTATATGTGTTAGAAACAAATCATTGGTAGAGGCTTTGTTGAAGTTTCTGTTGTCGATAGGTAGCGCCTTATGGAGGTTTCCGGTTGCCGACACATGCCATATAGCGGCTAGCGAAGCTAACCGCTTAAAAATTCAGCATAGTTTACAACAGGATGAGAGGTACATAAAAAAAAGAATATCGTGTCCTGAAGAGAAAAAGAACAGTTTTGAGTCGGGCAATTCTTAAGTTCTAGTCAGTTTGTCGTGAGAGGGCTGCCAAACAAGTTTTTAAAAGGTTTTGTTTGGTTTTCATACCTTGGGTTATGCAAGGGAGGGTATAAACATATTCTGGCTGTCACAGATCATTTTACCGTATTTATTATTGCCATTTCCACAAGAAATCAATCAGTTAGGACAACAACTGAGATGTTTTGTAAACATTTTATTGTTCCTAAATATATCATTCCGGATAAAATCAACTCATATCAAGGTGCCAATTTTGAGTGCCGAGTGATTCAAGAATTTTGTCAGATCATCGGTATGGAAAAGTCCACAATTGCCAGCTTCCACGCAATGGGTAATGGCATGTGTGAGCGTTTTGATTGCACTTTGCTCCTTAGATCAAATGAAGAAAGCCAACAGGAAAGCATAATATGTAAATTCACTGTCTCATGAATATAACTGCACCCATCATGATAGTACTGGACAAACAATGTATCTGTTGATGTTCGGAAATAATCTAAGATTACCAGCTTATGTATCATTTGATTTATGTCCAAATGTAAAAAAACCAATTACACTCTACATCAAAGATAGAAAGAAAGAATAATCCAAGTAAACACGTTAGCAATAGAAGCAGTAGACAAAGCCAAGACTTAGCAGAAAGAAGGTTATTATAATAAGCTTAAGGAGAGTACTGTGAAAATCGGAGGCTTTTTTCAATGCACCTAAAATATGATTAATTCTTGACAATTATTTCAAACAAATTGATATATCCAGTGCGAGTGTAGTTAAAAACAATGATATGCAGGAAGGTTTTGCCTCAGATGTTCACTATATATAGGCCAGCAAGATTTGTTTATAATTGAAAAGTTTGTAAGCAACGATTTAGAAATATCTATTGGAAATGTAGAACGCACGCTTGAAGACTTAAAATATGATTGAATGCAAGTTATTGCCAAGATAAAATTGTGGTAAAATTTGCAAAAGATTATCGCATGTCTAAGTTCAGGTCGTTTTATTGCCTGACGTCACAGCGTCAGGCACTACTAAGGATCAATATTGCCTAGATGCGAAGCTAAGAGGTCACAGTTAGCCAGCAAAAATTTGTGCATGCTGATTTTCATCAGATTTTCTTACCTACATTTCAACAACAACAGTTAGAAGAAAATAACCAGATTTCTGATACAATATATTGATGCATTTATTTCCGTTAGTTTTTGGCATGCAGCTATTTATTTCTTGCGAGTTCCTATACGGACATGCCCGTTTGACCTTTTTTCTACGTTTCTATACTACTTAATTAGTCCAGTACATTTGTCTTCTAGTTAAGGAGTGACACAATCATTTCGCGCCAAAAGGTCACGTGTAAGTTTTGGCGCCTTTTTTCCTGGACTATTCTATTGAATGGAAATAAAAACTGTATGTGTTTTTTTTTTGGTCGGAATCTTAATCGAGCTTTGGAAAAAAAACATTTCGGTGATATTGTAAAGTGAGTTAGAAGTTTCACTATTTAAAGAAATATAAACGAAACAAACAAAAACTTCTTAAGAGGATGAACTGGCCAAATATACATCTGATCATAACCCCCCCCCCCCCCTACAGGGGTTTCCTTCTACAAAAACAGAATGTAGACTAAGGAAAGTGCCCCCTCACATTTCAGGATTGAGGGACTTTATTAATTTCTTGCTCTTACAAATATTTTTTATGGGGACCCCCCATCTCGGGGAAAAACTTCCTAAATCTGCGCCTGTCGCCATTCATATATCACCGTTAAGTTTATTGGGTCACTATGCATAAAGGATTTTATTTATCCCACGTTTCCAACAATCGTTGATGTTCTGGCATACCCAAAAAAACTAGTAAACATATTCTGCATGTCAGTCATAACCGTTACGATTCCCAGTTTCTTGTAGGTATCATATTTTAGCTGTCTTCCTCAAAGCCTATGCTGTATGCAGTTGAATCTAATTTATGTAACCTTAACCATGTTAAGATAGCCACGGCTTTCCAGGATACATTAATTACATTGCTTTATTTCCCTTATTGACTTCATCCTCTGCAACCATTTTTAGACTCGCGTAGTGAGGTGTTTATCTTTACCTCGCGGGTTTGAATCCACAGGAGAACGTGGAGATCGGTCCTTCGGATGATACCGATAGCTTATATAGATATTGATGGCATTAGTCAGGCAAGCTTTTTGAAAAGCTGTTACTTGTACTCAAAGCAAGTTCTTGTTACAGGAAGTATGCATGATATATAAAAAATCCCTTGAGTCAAAGGTTAAAAATTATAGACAATTTCTTTTTTATTTTAAGTTTAGGTTTTTTAGGTTTAATTTTTCTACAAAGAAAACAAACAGAAAGGAAATTTTCAGAACAAAAGATTAAAAAATATATATACACTTGAATCCACAATTATTCAGTCATTGACTGTATGAATTATACTATGCATGAATGTATTAATCCCAAATAGGCAAATACTCAAAAACACAAGGTATTACAAAAAGAACTGAGTATCTTTAGATTTTGATTTTATTTATTCAATTAATCGTACTTGATTTTTTTTCTGTTATTTCTTTTTTAAATTCTGATTTATTTAATGCTTTCTTTCACATAGAGCTAGTAACAATCTTATGTAAACCTTTTCTTTAAAAAATTCTATTCCGGAAAATCGTCCGGGATATGTTTTGCGAATTTTATCGTTCATAAATATTGATAAGATGACTCAGCCAGACATAGCGAATTTTCTCTGCGTTTACTGCACAATCATGTCATTAGCAAGTCACTCGCCATTTTATGCAGCCTCCAGATATGTGTACGAATTTCTACTTAATTTGATGAAGGTAAGAGATATTTTATTTAACTTTACCTGTATACAGTTTCAACAAATTAAGCGTTCTTTCACGCATATCTCTTTATTGTCAAACTGCTATATAAATACTATATCTCTATATGCAAATAAGAATAGTGGCATGTTTTATTTTATTATCAATGGGCTCCTTGAATTTGTTAACTAAATATTTACAGGTGGACTTGTATAAGAAAATTATACATTGATTGCATGAGAAAAAGTGTGTATAAACTGAGATATTAATTTATTATTTGATAGTTTAAGGTTTCACCAAAGGTCAACTTGTCCAAAAATTTATTTTTACAATAGCTCCAGAACTCTGTGGTTTATAAAGTTAAAACTTTCACAGTTTATAAATATATCATTGATTAACAGATATAATTTGTTTAAGGATTATCTATCCTGTTTTATAAACCAACCTAAACTTATTATCAAATATACGTCACTGCTGATTAAAGGTGTCGATAAAGAAAGTAGGTATGCTCAAAGTCCAATCAAGATTACCTATTGCAAACAGCGTAGAAATCTGATATCTGAAAATTGGGGTGAGAGCATTTGCCAAAAAAGAGTAGACACCCCCTGTTCACGGTCATCATACCCGCCATTTGGTCTTCATTAATGTCGGGAATAAAATAATCTGTGGACGATTCACGCTTCCACATCGTCACGGGTGACGCAGTTGCTATCTCCGCACAGCCAATCAAAATTGCGGAAAAATTGTCAGCCATTAACTCCGACAAAACACAGCTGTCGGATGCTGCGAGAGGACATAGTCAAACGTCTTATCCGCCATATTGCAGAAAATTGTGAAGTCCCATTAATACGTTAGATGTAATAATGATACGAGGTACCCGGAAAGAATACGCAAGGTGAGATTTATTCATTTTCTTCTAAGTCCAAAACACGGAAAAACAAGTGTTTACATTGCATAAACAGCTGATCAAGTCATGTCATGTGTAAGACTGAAAACGACTGTCCTTTAAAAAAATAAGTTTCAAATATATTTATGTCAAGGTAATGACAATGTAAGTGGACATGAAAACGAACAATATTTGAATTAAGTAATATCACGTACAATATGGTGATTTACATACTTTGAACTTAGGCAGTTATATACTGTAGTATCTGTGCAACTGTCCCGTGGTACGACCGACTGACTGTATATCGTCAGACGGCGGGATAGTCGCACTCCGTCTCTTCTACACGTGGATGCCGAGCAGACCGGACGTGTCTACGACAGCTGCAGAGCGGGGGCCAGAACCCACTGTGTTTGTGTTTGTATATATGTTGATAAATACTTGTACAGAACACCCCTATACGGTTACTTTACTGGCGCCCAATTCGCGGGGCCCGGACATTCCCGTACTGCTGTCTATATTTTAGGCATCAGATTTAGCCGCCATTTTTGGTGCAGCTAGGTACGTGAGAGCACGTGTTTATTTTGTATGTATTTTTTCTGAATCGACTTTCTGAATTGATTTGTAAATATTTTCTGTGATTTTTCTTGATTATTCGTGACATTTAATTATGGATATGTCTGTAGAGGAGGCGTGTCGGCTTTAAGCTTGACACGCGCCCATCTGTCATGCGGTCAGACTTGAACCCTCGTATTCCGAGTCGTGTGGGTGGTTATCCCAGGGATGGGGGTTATTCACCATATGTTTATAGCGGGAGCGAGCATTATGTCTCCCGTCACACACCTTTTGCTCAGTAAATGTCAGGTAACATGGGAGGGGGGTTGCCCCTGGGGGGTCCCTCTACATGCATGTCCGGCCTGCATTCGGGCATCCCCTGTGGAGGGGGTAGTGCGCTACATGGTATGTCAAGGAGAGAGGTAAGGTTTACCCAGCCCCAATGTAGCTCACCACGGATGATGACCAGTAGTTCTCTGGACTCCTCTTTAGGTAGGATGTGTAGGTGTGGCTCACCTGGCAGCAGTAAGGGTTGTAGCCCACCTGGTTATGAATACAGTGAGGTTCTCTTGAATTTAGGTTTAGAACATCGGTATTCTGTGGGTCATGTGCGTTCAGCTAGCAGCCAGCCTGTCCTTGTGGGAGACACAGCTAACCTGGGGGACATAGGAGTTAGACCAAGCTTGGGTGAGGGTGTACCCCTCGCTTGACACCGCCCCTCCAAAACATACACTATTTGCCAATCAACAGCCTGTGAGGCCTGCACAGTTCACTTCTGAGTATGATCAGAGGCCTGTTGACCCTTTAGGGCTCACCTGGAACCCTTTGTCTGTACAAATCCCAGCCTAGACCCGCGTGCTTTCTTGTGTCCTCTCTTCCTGGGGATGATTTGCAACCCCGGAGCTCAGTGCCACGCACTACCCCTGTCCGAGACTTGGTGAATACTGGGGGTGGACATGCCCAACCCCCACTGCCCAATCACACCCAATCTGTATGGTACGGAGGTAAGGATATTCAAACCTCGCACCTAAGAATGGCTATGACTAGTGTATTACAGCAGCATAGTGTCCCTGTGTCAGCGACTAGTAGTCCTGCGTATTTCGATACCCTGGCCTGCCATTTTGGAAGGGAGGGGGAGAGGATAGCACATGTACAGCCAAACATATGTGGGCCTGCCAAGCTGGGACACTATGCCAGTCAGTCAGTCCCGGCCTACCAGACTCGCAGCTTCAGTTCACCTACACAGAACATCAGTAGGGTAGCTGTCGGGAGTAAGCCCAGGTACAAGGACCTCAGGTATGATGGTAAAACCAGCTGGAAGGCATTTTTGCATAAGTTTGTGAGGTTGTCTCGCAGTCAGCTGTGGACTGAGAAGGAGCAGCATGACCAGTTCTGTTTTTCCCTTGAAGGGGCAGCAAGCGAGTATTATACCCTGCTGTTAGAAACCATCTCCGCCTAGGTGAGATCTTGCAGAAATTTGAGAAGCGTTTTGGCTCCTCTGCTCCCAATGTCACTCATCAACTAAACTTCCAGTCTGCCAGCCAGAACCCTGGAGAGTCACTTCATCAATGGGCCGACAGAGTCCTGACCTTGGCGACTCGAGCCTTCCCCAGTTTGCCTGATGTGCACACTCATGCTATACCTCGGCTATGTTATGGAGCTTAGGACAGAGATGCTGGCCTTTACGCACTTGATGGGCATCCCCGGACAGTGAAGGAAGCCGTGGAGCGCATGCAATACTATCAGCACTCCCGGTGTCACAGGCCTAAGCCGTCAAGGGAAGTTAGAAAGCTGGATTCTGCTCATGACATGAAGCAGACTGATCCCGAGAGAGTAAATGTTGTTGCTGTGGAGGAGCTCGCAGCCCTCCGGAGCAGGATAGAGGAACTCGAGGAGTTGATTAGGCAGAGGAAAGGTGCTTCCCTTCAGAAACATCAGAGGAGTGGTACCCCATCCCCTAGATGGACGGAGCGGGACCGGAGGCCTGCTGTAGGTTTCAAGTGTGGAGAGGTGGGGCACTTCCGTAGAGATTGCCCCACCCGAGCTGCAGGGAAGACGATGGCTACTATTGGGCAAGGGGGCGGGACCATTATGGGAGGATTCCCTGTGGAGACGTTCCCTAGGTCGGAATCCAAGGAGCTGGGGATCGGTGTTCCCCGCTTCTGTGTGCGGCGCCGGCGCAAGCTCCGCAGGCTCAAAGATCACTTTGGGATGTCACCATCACCGGAGCTTTGCCTGGCTAAGGAGGAAGTGGTCACCGTGGAAAAGAAGGTGGGGACTGTAACTCCCCACTTCACTCTGGAGCCGCTTGGACCAGCCGTGGTTGGTGAGGAACCCCAAAACCAGGGGAGGATGGACCCGTGTGGTGTTGATTGGTCACCTGCAGGGATGGGTAATCCCTGGTCACCCGTGGCAGTGGGATTGAAGGAGCCCTTTATACCAACCGAGCGGTTATGTCATTCTAAAGGTTTTAGGTTGGCCTGTGCGTACAGTGCATGGGGGTTACAGCTGTGGTGGATACTTGGGCTAAGGTCAGTGTGTTGTCAACCAGGGTGTATGACCAGCTGGAGCCCAATCCCTCAATACTGGAACATGTGACTATGAGACAGGCCGAAGAAACACCGAGTTGGAAGGATTCATAGTGGGGCCCGTCACTCTGTGTATTGGTCAGCAAAAGCATGAAATGGAACATCATGTTGCTCCACTACAGGACTCTATGTTGCTGGGCATGGATTTTTCTCCGTGCCCTGAAAGCCCAGATGGACTTGGGGCAAGGAATCCTTACTCTGGGGGATGAGGCCATAAAGGTGGAGTTCAGGAGGTCAGGTGGTATTCCAGAGGAAGGAGTGACCTTGACAGGAGGCACACTAGTTGAGGCAGACAGGTGTATGTCTGTTCCCCGTTTAGTGAGGGACTTTGGTAGTGTGGCGCCTCTGACCCGTCCCGGAAGTAAAAATTGTAGTTAGTATTAGTGTAAATCATTGGGTGGTTTTGTCTGGAGCTTGCTCCGGCACTTGTTATTCTTGGGCTGTTAGCCCGAGAGGGTGTTTACAGCGCCCCGACGTTGGAGATGGTTCCGGATCCTCTTTCCTGTGGTAGACTCCAGCCTTTCAAAGAAAACAGGGGGGAGTTTAGCATCTGTGCGACTGTCCCGTGGTACGACCGACTGACTGTATTATGTCAGATGGCGGGATAGTCGCACTCCCTCTCTTCTACACGTGGATGCCGAGCAGACCGGACGTGTCTAGGACAGCAGCAGAGCGGGGCGTTGACCCGGGCCAGAACCCACTGTGTTTGTGTTTGTATATATGTTAATAAATACTTGTAAAGAACACCCTATACGGTTACTTTAATACTGAAACGCAAAAGAAACGCAACAAGCAATGATCTTCAAATGTTTGAATTTTTTATCCAATGATTTTCAAAAAGAATACAGTAAGGCTAAACTCACTTTTCAGAACATCAGAGATTTGATAAAAATATTAAACGTTTAACTTTTAACTTTACAGTAGCATATGACTGTTAAAACACCCCCTTCCCAGGCATTCAATTACAACGTGCAAGACTACCCTTAACAACAATTGCAGCTTAATTTCTACGATACAATAGGTTAATCAATATCGAGATCTGAGCGAAGGAATTATTCTTTGCCATTTTTTAAATGCCTGTTTTTCAGATTATTAGGTCGAATTTTCTCTAACTTGACGCCCTGTAGTAACCCTTGGACTTCCGGTCCAAGGACAATCATTTATGCATATGATACGTAAGACCCCGTTGAGGCATAATGTAGTGTATTTTTGCATCATCAGCTGTCCATCTCCTTTACTTTGAGATTTTCCAGCCAGAGCAATGGAAATGCGTACTTGAGCCATTTTCAAGAAGCCTAAGCATCGTTGCGGGGAACGAAAGGATGTTTTTTTTTTTTTGAAATATTGCTGCATTACTTAAGATAAACAGTACAAACCCTTAAAACTCCATAATATTGCCAAATGTTTTGTTAAGCATGCAATTTTTGATTTTCTGTTAAGCGTTTCAGTATATATGTACTCGGACTATACATAGACCTAAAGTGGACTGTTCAGAGCTGATCTTTGTGAACTGTATATAGATTCTCGAAAAACAGAATGCTGCAAAAATATGTTCTGGCTAATTTTCATGTTTTTTTTTTATTTTGTGATTGTATATATAAGTGCAGTGTTTGGGTAGCTTTTTGAATCTTAATTGTAGCATTTGTGGGTCGATCTCATGAAATACTGACTGTATATAGCAATTAGATAGGCAACAGTCACCAAGAAAGGCAGGATACTTAAGTATTATCAAGGTGAGTTGTAAGTTTACTGATATTATTATATTATGTTACGAAAAGTATTTTTTATGAAAAAGACTTAGTTATAAAGCCAGTATATTATTAAAGTGAAGATATCATTATACATGTACGTGTATATAGTGCTTAACTAAGAAAACTATAAAAATGAGTAAAATGACACATAAATTGTTATTTTTGTTATATACATTTTTGATACTTATTTAGATTTGGTGAAAAAAAATAAGGATAGTTCATTGCAAATTTGTTTTTAAAAAGCATTCTAAAAATTCCAAGTCAAATGTATTATTTTTATTTAATGAAATATTGCATGAATTCAGGATCAATGATGAAGCACAAAAGGAAACAAAAGAATCTTCACCCAAGTGTCATAACAGAATGAATGTTCCAGTGAATTTCAACAGGCTACATCTTTGGTTAGTTAGGTAATTTACAATGATAATGGAGAAAGAGACATGCCACTTATTCGTGACATCAATGTTTTTATGCTGTTAAAGACCCAAGAAAATCAGCATTTGGAGTAATATTTGAAGTAGAAAGCACCCTTTTTAGATTTTGGTAAATTTATTTGTGTTATAGATCTAAACTCTCTTTTTTCTTTTTTTTTATAGAAACTTTGGATTAATTTTACCAATATCAGCTGTGCAGGTCAAGATTTTGAACTACATCATTACCAGAGAGAATCTTCAGTCTACAGAGCAGACTAAATAATCTTTTACAATCCACATATCAGCTTGAAAAAAACAAGACCCCCTTGCCATTAAGAAAACAGCAGATGAAAAAAAAAATACATCAGGATCGTTTTTGTAATATCTATACTACATGTAAAACAAAACATTATTGAAAATATTTAGATTTTTTGACATCAGAACATTGAAAAAAAGAGGTAATACTGATGATGCTAAGCTAAGGCACAATTTTGGATTAATGGATGTAGCATCAATGGTGTATCAGTGATTAATCATTTGCCTGCGTTGA